GCCAGTGACAGCAGCGGCAATCCACCTGTCACTCAAGTGGCCACGCCCTTAATTATGCAGAACTTTAAAGCTTACTATAATTTAAATGGATGAGTTATAAAAAAATGAATTGCAGTTTTAGTCACTTCCGTGTTGGTTTCACGAGAGTGACCGGAAGGTTGCCACTTGGGTGCAAACAAGTGCGCGCACAACCGCAGATGATTTCATTTTCCACTCAAGTCGAGGCTGGGGTGTGCGATATACAGTATATCTTCTAGTTCCAAACAAAGATCACAGCACTGTTTTGCGTCTCCGAGCAATGGACGGTGTTTACTTATTGAATGAATCAGCTTTTTGAACGAATCGGTTGATAAAAATGATTCAGTGATTCACTCATTAACACAGTCAAATGCTTTGTTTCTGAATGAATCGGTTGAATCTCAATGACTCACCCATTAACAGTCACTTGCTGCCACCTACTGGCGGTTTTAATTTCACATTTCTACTATTTTTTTCATGTTTTAAATAATTTCAAATATCAGTATTCAACGTTTTATGTTACAAACAAAACATTATTTATCCATCTGTAACTGCAGGTTAAATGCATCCATGCCCCCTCTGAGATACATTAAACCGTGTGAATACATCTAAATGCTATTTCAGATGCAGATTCCAGAAATGTTTTATGTTGGAATGAAAGACACTAAGTACCGGATGAAGTGCTTCTTATTCTTACCCAAAAATACAAAATGGAAGAAAGAGTTAAAACTGAACACAATCTTGCTACTGCTGAACTTTTTTATATATATTTATTTGCTTCTTTTCCATTTTGCATTTACTTGTACTTTTACTTTCAATACTTAAGTATGTTTAAGAACTTAAGTACAATAAATATAACATACTTTAAGACTTTTACTCAAGTAATATTCTAAACGGTGACTTCAACTTCTACCAAAGTAATTTTCTGGTAAGATATCTGTACTATCTGTACTTGAGTATGGCTTTCAGGTACTTTATACACCACTGAGTTTATCATTGTTTGTTATAGTACTGTTTACATTTGTTTCTTTTTTTTGTATATGCCTCAGCTGCAAACCTTCAAAACTGCAGCCCCCTGTAAGACAGTGAAGGATCTGACCTCAGGGGCAGCCATGTCTCAGGCTCTGCATCAGATGTGAGTGTGTTTACATTTATTCACTGGCAGATGCTTTTATTCAACGCAACTTATATAGCTTTCGTTGTATTTATTTCATTACCCATGACTTCAACGTTGCTAGTGCCATGTACTACCAGTTGATCTGCAGTGTTTCTTTGACTCATCCTTTCATACTTAACTGTGTTTTACATTTCTCACTCGCCCCCATTTTTTGTTTCCTTCCTTGCTCTACTAAATCAGATTAGTTTTTTCCAGGTCAGCATTACAGATTTATATCTCAGCTTGTCAGTGTGTGAATATTTTATGACTTGCATTGGGTTGTGGGTAGTCCTCAGTCATATTACCTGAAACTAGGGATATGCCGGTATCAAATTTTCATGTTGCGATTAATTGCTAATACTTTTATCACGGTATATGGTGTTATCACAGTATTGAAATTTAGTTGCAAAAAAGTGTTATCATAATACAGTATAACAGGTTTAATAATTTTTTATAACAAAAATAACTGAACATTTAAATAGGCCAACAATAAAGCAATACACAAAAAAATGTATAGGCTAAATTTTAAAAATGTACACTGATACAATAAGGTATCACTTTACAATAAGATCTCATTAGTTAACCTTAGTTAAAGCATTAATATTCACAATGAGCAATACCTATATTTGCATATTAATCTTTGTTAATAAATACAACTCTTAGTTCATGTTAGTTCATTAAATAACACTGTTGCAACTTTTGATTTTAAGAATGTGTTATTAAATATTGGAATTACCTAAGATTAATGAATGTTTAGAAGAATTTTTCATTGCCAGTTTATGTTAACTAATGAATTAACTAATTCAACTAATGAAGCCCTAATGTAAAGTGTGACGAACAATAAAGAATCAAAACACTTTCAAACAATATCTAGGGTGTGTTGTAGTCACTGATCTATATATAATGATCAGTGGTTGTAGTCCAGATTAAAATGTAAAAAATTGAAAATAAATAGTCTGTTAAGTCTAAATATTTAAGTATTTGACGCTGTGATTAACACCATAGCGAATACAAAAATCTGAATGGCTATTTAAATCATTTAAATACGAGTCAGAAACAGAAAGTAGTGCAGCTGCTTTGTTTACAGGGTTTCCAGGGGAACGGCAGCATTTAAATGAATTATTATTATTATTATTTCTGCAGTTCAGCGCCATCTGCTGTCAAAGAGTGAAAGTGTGCTTTCATCCAGAGCGTCTCTCGCATGTTCCGCTGTGTGCCATTAACAGTCACTTGCTGCCACCTACTGGCGGTTTTAATTTCACATTTCTACTATTTTTTTCATGTTTTAAATAATTTCAAATATCAGTATTCAACGTTTTATGTTACAAACAAAACATTATTTATCCATCTGTAACTGCAGGTTAAATGCATCCATGCCCCCTCTGAGATACATTAAACCGTGTGAATACATCTAAATGCTATTTCAGATGCAGATTCCAGAAATGTTTTATGTTGGAATGAAAGACACTAAGTACCGGATGAAGTGCTTCTTATTCTTACCCAAAAATACAAAATGGAAGAAAGAGTTAAAACTGAACACAATCTTGCTACTGCTGAACTTTTTTATATATATTTATTTGCTTCTTTTCCATTTTGCATTTACTTGTACTTTTACTTTCAATACTTAAGTATGTTTAAGAACTTAAGTACAATAAATATAACATACTTTAAGACTTTTACTCAAGTAATATTCTAAACGGTGACTTCAACTTCTACCAAAGTAATTTTCTGGTAAGATATCTGTACTATCTGTACTTGAGTATGGCTTTCAGGTACTTTATACACCACTGAGTTTATCATTGTTTGTTATAGTACTGTTTACATTTGTTTCTTTTTTTTGTATATGCCTCAGCTGCAAACCTTCAAAACTGCAGCCCCCTGTAAGACAGTGAAGGATCTGACCTCAGGGGCAGCCATGTCTCAGGCTCTGCATCAGATGTGAGTGTGTTTACATTTATTCACTGGCAGATGCTTTTATTCAACGCAACTTATATAGCTTTCGTTGTATTTATTTCATTACCCATGACTTCAACGTTGCTAGTGCCATGTACTACCAGTTGATCTGCAGTGTTTCTTTGACTCATCCTTTCATACTTAACTGTGTTTTACATTTCTCACTCGCCCCCATTTTTTGTTTCCTTCCTTGCTCTACTAAATCAGATTAGTTTTTTCCAGGTCAGCATTACAGATTTATATCTCAGCTTGTCAGTGTGTGAATATTTTATGACTTGCATTGGGTTGTGGGTAGTCCTCAGTCATATTACCTGAAACTAGGGATATGCCGGTATCAAATTTTCATGTTGCGATTAATTGCTAATACTTTTATCACGGTATATGGTGTTATCACAGTATTGAAATTTAGTGTGTTATCATTGTTATCATAATACAGTATAACAGGTTTAATAATTTTTTATAACAAAAATAACTGAACATCCAACAATAACAACAATAAAGCAATACACAAAAAAATGTATAGGCTAAATTTTAAAAATGTACACTGATACAATAAGGTATCACTTTACAATAAGATCTCATTAGTTAACCTTAGTTAAAGCATTAATATTCACAATGAGCAATACCTATATTTGCATATTAATCTTTGTTAATAAATACAACTCTTAGTTCATGTTAGTTCATTAAATAACACTGTTGCAACTTTTGATTTTAAGAATGTGTTATTAAATATTGGAATTACCTAAGATTAATGAATGTTTAGAAGAATTTTTCATTGCCAGTTTATGTTAACTAATGAATTAACTAATTCAACTAATGAAGCCCTAATGTAAAGTGTGACGAACAATAAAGAATCAAAACACTTTCAAACAATATCTAGGGTGTGTTGTAGTCACTGATCTATATATAATGATCAGTGGTTGTAGTCCAGATTAAAATGTAAAAAATTGAAAATAAATAGTCTGTTAAGTCTAAATATTTAAGTATTTGACGCTGTGATTAACACCATAGCGAATACAAAAATCTGAATGGCTATTTAAATCATTTAAATACGTTTGAGGTTTCTGGGGTAACGGCTGCATTTCTGCTGTTCAGCTCCATCTGCTGTCAGTGAATGTGTTGTCATCCAGAGCGTCTCATGCATTCCGCCATGCGCTTCTCATCCGTGCTTGTTTGTATCTGAGTGCGCATGCGTCTGTGACGCAGCATACAGCAGTGTTGTGACCAGTTGATGGGAAAAGTATTCTTAAAATGCATTCAAAATTCTGAATAATTTGTAATAAATAATTATTATAATTAAGTGCCCACGATAACAATATCGTGCATATATTATTAATAGTATTAAATAGTATCACCGTGATATATCGCATCACCGTGATATATCGCATCACCGAATACCGGCACATGTCTACCTGAAACACATTATTTTTTGTTGAATAAACATTCAAGTTTAGTGAAATTGATATATTTTCATCAGAGAGCCTGAGAGTGTGACGTAATTCTGATTATATTAAGGTAGGAAGGGATAAGAACAAAATATATTTGATTTCATTTTGCCAACTGATCTGAATGAAAGCCTCTAAAAGTATCTGAATTAGATAAGACTGTGCTGCACTGATCAATATATTTCAATTACAGAGATCCTTCATGGTTCAATGAGAGCTGGCTGGCCCACATTAAAGAGGATGTTGGAGATAATGTGAGACTCAAGGTAGACTTATTTTTCTTTTATGCCTTTGTGCTTAAATCTAATTTTGAGAACATGCCAAATATAATGTGTTAGTCAAAGATAAAGTCTTTGTTTCTCTCCATTTTTACAGATGAATAATCTAAAAAAGATCATGCAGATGATTGTTGATTATTATAATGAGGTAAATGACGCACTATTTCAGATATCATCAGTCAGACTTTAAAGGTGCAGTAGGAGATCTTGGGAAATGCTAAATTTAGCCTGATAGCACTGAAAGCGAATGTCCCACCCTCCCTGTAATCGCCGTCCAAAGCCACACCCCCTGAACGCATTTACGCTCACAGACCAGAATACCAGAGACAACATTACTACAATAGGTTACATCAGCGGTTCCCAATAATAGATAGAATCTAGTTTTTTTTCTGTCTTTTTTTCTTTCTTCCAAATCTATGCACACTCCACACTCCAGATCAGTAGGTGGCGGTAATGCACCTTTTTGACCGTAAGTGCCCTGCGAAGTGGACATCACCGGATATTCCGCCATGATTCCGGTTCGAAGCGAGCGTATATGTTCCATACAAAGGGCATTCAATTGTGCGAGATGTAAATTTAAATAGTATTTATTTACAGAGGTATATTATGTCACACTTCACACTTCTCTAGTAAGTTTCGTCTGTGTGTGAAGACGCTGCGCAGCACAAATCCGTGAATGAATGTTCCAAAGTGAAGTAAACTTCAACGGATTTCCCCTGCTCAGGGAGTATGGAGCAAAGAACACTGTGTAGGGAGCATGTCAATCTGAACACAGTTCATGCACGTAGCTCACTTCTAATGAGCTGTTTATCTGAATCAGGTGTGTTAACTAAGCGAGACATGCAACATATGCAGAGCGGGGGGGGCGCGAGGACTGGAATTGGGAACCGCTGGGCTACATCATGTGTCATTCACCGGCGTGCGTGAACGTGCTGATGACGTATCCTGTCTGCGCGAACAAAGACCACTTAACTTAATGATTGCTATCGGGATGTGTAGAGACTTTCAACCAGCATAACAAAAAACATTTCAGAAGACAATCACCTATTGCACCTTTCAGAATTAACCTTTCATCTGACACAAAGCATTCTGAATTCACACATTCCATACAGTCACATGATGGATGGTTTAATTGTATGACTGTGTTAATGCCTGCAATTTGTTTTCATAATTTATTTCAAAGATTCAATAACTGCTTAAACTGATTCATTCTAATAATGAGTATGTGTTCTGATCACTTTGGGTTCAGGTTTTGGCTCAGCAGATCACAGATTTCCCTCTGCCTGATCTGGTGCGTGTGGTAGAGCAGTCTGATCAGGTAGAGCTGGGACGCCTCCTGCAGCTCATCCTGGGGTGTGCAGTCAAATGTGACAGGAAACAAGGTAGTTAAATGGATAGCTCACCCAAACCTTAAAATGTTGTTATTTACTATCATTATGTACAGCTATTTTCCTGGTGATGCATATATATTTCATTATTTTAACCTTGTGAGATTGTTTTGTTGTTCAGATTATGTCCAGATTATCATGACTGATGCACCTGTATATATATATATATATACATTCTTTAAAAAAGAATAAAATGAATTTCAAAGCTTTTTGTATTGATTACAGCTTATGAGCAAGGAGACTGTGTCTCAGTTAGGAACAGAATATCCTGGAGATGTTGAAAAACAGGTAAGAAATACAGACATATAACATCATCACAGTGTCAGTGTGAGAAAGTCAGTGTTGATATTGTTGTTAAATGTAGTATATTGTAGTATTGTTCAATGATGCTGGTTTTTTGGTAGTTAAAGAAAGCCTTGGAGGATCTGACTGAAGTCATGGCAGAGAAAGAAGAGTTGGCACAGCGCTGTCAGGAGCTCGACATGCAGGTGAGGGGTTTGTATTAACAAATATACAATAATATTAGGAATGTTAAAAGTCAAGTCACAAGTTATATACAGTAATATACAGATTTCAAAGGGCCTTACAGTAATAAACAGGAAAATAAGTGTTACAATTCCTCAGTAATGAAATTACTTCAATTTCAGTTGTAAAGCAGCTCTACAAAAAAAGCAATGTCATTATTCAGTTTAATTTAGTTGATTCAATTCAGTTCTATAACCGTGTCATAGTAGCAAATTTTATAAGTTATGAACTCAATTCTGCTATAAAGCTTGCTTGACAACTATTGATACTTTTGTGACAGACTTAAGTAAGATTGTGGCAAAAATTGTTCATGCATTGAAACCAAAATGGCACATCAATATTATTACTATTATTACTTGTTTTAGATATGAATATACACAGGTGCTGAAATATTTACAAGCTGCCTACATGAAAAAAGGCATTGGTCAAAGAAATCCAGAGACAGCATTTGTTTAAGTGGCTGTGTTTGCAGACTGTAAGTGTCAGTGAACAGCATTTCTGGTTTCTGCTGTTCTGTTCATTCACCGTCATGGATGAACAGATTTTGCCTATAAGTGCAAGTATTTTTTGTTTGTCTCTGCAGAGGCTGTGTTTTAGCTTTACAAATAAATAATCTGTCATGTACAGTATTTCATGACATTTTTAGGTATCTATTTTCCTTTTGGAAATTGTTGTAATATAGTACATTTAAAGGTCATTTGCAGGATTTGAACTGCTATGTTAATTTTCCTGTGCACAGAAATGGGTTAGAAATTCATGTGTTGCTGATTCTTGACAGATTAAGTTGTAAAAGTATCCATGGCCTATGAGAGGTAAGTTTAAACAAATGCATGGCAACCTAGCCTAACTAAAACACTGCGTTGCCACTAACCAATCTAACCACTGAAAAACGGGTCTTATCTGGGGGTTTTGTGTGGCAAAAAGAGCTCATGGATTCAGTGCTGAAATTATTGGGTTATATATTGACGCACACTCTAAAAACAAGAATAATACGCATTTGCTGTTGGGGTGTGGGAGGTTTAACATGCTTAGCATTAACAGCGGATTTGTTTAATTTAATTTGCAAATTAAATATAAAACTGCATCAATTTGGAGTTTATGTGTATACACACAACTGTAATGGATAAATTATTTAATGTTTAGTTAGTTTTGAAAGTGTGTTTTTTTGGGGGTTTTTTTGTAAACTGGTTTATTTCCTTTTGTGGTAAGTAGTGGGGCAGCACAATGTTTTTAAATGTAAATCTAGTTGTAATCTGTTATAATTCAATATAATATAATTTTTCAAAAATCTTTACATCATGCTCTATATATACACTACCATTCAAAAGTTTAAGGTCAGCAAGATTTTTCAAGAAAGTAATAAATTTTTTCAGCAAGGATGCATTAAATTGATCAAAAGTGACAGTAAATTTATTTTTAATGTAAACATGTATCACATGTTCCACAAAAATTTTAATGTAATATTAAGAAGTGTTTCTCAGCATATTCAAATGGCTTCTGAACGATGATGTGATGTGAAGGCTGGATCAATGGCTGTTGAAAATACAACTTTGCCATCACAGGAATAAATTACATTCTAATATAGGCTATATTAAAATAGAAAACAAAAATTGTAGTTTTAAATAGTAATAATTCTTACTGTATGCAGCTTTGGTGGGCATAAGATACTGACCCCAAACATTTGAACGGTAGTGTACATTATACAGTACAACCCTACATACAATCCTATGTTCAAATATGCCATACCTGTTGTATGTACTGTATGTCATACAATACATGCCTTGACATAGTAAACATCAGGTTTTCCAGAAAGCCCTGATGTTTGACCTTTTTGCCATTTAAACAGGTGACAGTGCTACAGGAGGAAAGGAACAGCTTCCTGGCAGAAAATGACCTCTTGACTGATCGAGCCAGTCAGCTTGATACTTTTGAAGACCCCAGCACTCCATCAGGGAGGAAGCAAAGCCAGCTACAACTAGAGCTAGAGCAGCTTCTGGAGGAGAACTTCAGGTAGACACAGTGTAACTTTCCAAATATTGTCTGAAACTTGCTTGATTTTAACTTGCTGATGTTCTGAATATTGTTGTGGATGCATAAGTAGACAAGCATTGAAATAATAAACCAAGTGTGGGTAGAATGTCTCAGTTTGAAATAGCATGCAGTGTAAATAATGAAAGTGTGTGTATGTGTGAAATAACCAGGCTTGAGGCAGCTAAAGATGATTACCGCATCCACTGTGAAGAGCTGGAGAAACAACTAGTGGAGCTTCAGCATCGCACCGATGAACTGACCAGCCTGGCTGAGGAATCGCGATCACTTAAAGATGAATTAGACATATTAAGGTGTGTGCTGGGTCATATTTTAACAAGTAGTTTTTGCCAGCATCCTCTTTGGGTGTTTTGGGAAGGCTCTATGATGGATTTGTTTGTTTAGGAGCTGCTCTGACAGGGCAGTCAAGCTAGAGGCCTCTGTTGAGACGTACAGGAAGAAGTTAGAAGATCTAAGTGACCTCAGACGGCAAGTGAAAGTTCTGGAGGAGAAGAATATGACCTACATGCACAACACAGTCAGCCTTGAAGAGGAGCTACGCAAAGCTAATGCTGCAAGAGCTCAGTTAGAGACATACAAGAGACAGGTATAAACGTGCTAGTAGTTTTACTTTTAGGAATTCTGAGAAAGGTGATGAGTGAAATATGAGGTAAAAGATAAACACTACATTGTTTTTGGAACTTCAGGGTCAGGAGCTCCACAGGAAACTGTCTGATGAGTCCCGTAGGGCTGATAACCTGGCTTTTGAGATGAAGAAATTTCAGGAGAAATATGATACTTTACTAAAAGAGAAAGAGGTAGACTGACATATTCACCTGCAATTACTCATACACATGCCAAAACCTTGTGACCATTGTGTTTGTGTGTGATTCATCAGAGGATCAGCATTGAGCGCGACACTCTCAGAGAGACTAATGAAGAGCTGCGATGCACTCAGGCCCAACAGGACCAGCTGTTACACGCAAGTATGTTTGCAGATACCACACCTGGCAATGGTGCCATGTGCCGCTAGGAAAAGATTGCATTTGAATGAAGACTGTTGCTCACAGACATGAATCAGTGCAGGCGGGCTCTGCTGAGAGCGATAACAGTTCCTCCACTCCTGAGATTCGTTTGACGTAGCCAATTTAAATTCAAGCAAATCTGCTAGTTCAGAGGCAGTACAGCCTGTTTGATTTTTATTCCGACCACAGTGCAGCCTTGAGCCCAGCTCAAGTGATCTGTCTGGGTCACTTCACAGCTCAGTAAACACAAACTGAAAATTTAGTTTAGAAGATGGTATTAAACTTGAACGTGTGCTTATTTCACACTTCACAGGAAAGTATCAAACAGGAAGTCCAAGCCATGATAACCTGGCAGCTGAGATGTTGCCCATTGAGTACAGGTATGTTATATATAGGAAGTAAAGCATACAGATTTGCACATTTTTTCCTAATTTTAAATATGGATTTTAAAATGCCATTTATTCCTGTAAGGGTAAAGTTTATTTTTTTTTAACATCTATTACTCCAGGCTTGAGTATCACTTGATCATTCTAATATGCTGATTTGGTGCTCAAGTAACATTTCTTATGATTATCAATGTTGAAAACAGTTTTGTGGAAACTGTGATCTTTTTTTACGATTCTTTGAATGGAAAGTTGTGATTAATTTTGTTCAGAATTGTCTTCATATTTGGTAGTCTGATCAAATAATGAGTGAAGAAGGAGATGGTTGTGTTTACTACTGTTTTTAATATCACACTTCAAACAGAAGGTGAATAGCAAGACTAGTATTCTGAACCTAATGTCTTTGTGATTCACATACATCTAGAGTGAGTGCATATAAAATCTTAGCTATCATTGAAGTATAAATACATGTATTTTGTATATGTTGATGTGTATTTCTGCTTCTCCAGGGAGAAGTTCATTCGTCTGCAGCATGAGAACAAGATGTTGCGGCTGCAGCAGGAGGAGTCAGAGAATGAGCGCATAACTGAGCTGCAGGAGCTGCTGGAGGAGGCCCGGCGCGGACGCAACCAACTGGACACTGAGAACAGGTACAGATTGACATAATATATCAAATGTAAACTTATCGAACCATACAGTAGCTTTTCTACATATGAACATGTGTTGTTTATGTGTATTAAGGTTAAACAGAGAAAGAATCAGTGAACTCCAGCAGCAGGTAGAGGATCTGCAGAAGGCCTTGCAGACACAAGGAGCCAAACCTGAAGATGTAAGTGTGTTTGAACCACTTGGTGGTGCTGTTTTTGCCCATTTTTTTTGTCAGTGATACATGAGCATGTGCTTTGCAAATTATCTAGTCTTTGATTTCATTCTGGAAGTAGTACTTTTCATTAAAAAGTCGCATTGTATGTTTGCTTTCATACAGTCTCATCTGAAAAGGAAGCTGGATGCTCATATGTAAGTTTAGACATTTAATCAAATTAGATTTCTTTGTTGGTTTAGCTATGTTTGTACATCTTATGCACTTTCTGAAATGGATGGTCCTTATGTTTTTTTCCCAGGGTGCAACTGAATGAAGCACAAGATGAAATCATGAAGAAGAAAGAGCTGTTGGAGGACCTCCAGCCAGATGCTACTCAAACCAGTTAGCCTTTAACTTTCGACCTGACCCTATATTTTATCCCACATTGCTTTTCATGACCTCAGAAAAAGACTGAGTCACATACACCCACTCAAACCATCAACTTTGTGTCAAACTGTAAACTTTGATGTCCATGATATAGAGTGATATTATGATCCTCTTTGAGTCTTTAAACTTTAAATCTTTAAAGTTCCTCTCAGTTTTAGAGATAAATGTCACTTTCAGGTGTGAAGATGGATGAGCTGGTTGCAGCACTGAAGAAGAAAGATGAGGACATGAGAGCGATGGAGGATCGATACAAGATGTACCTGGAGAAAGCCCGTGATGTACTTGCATTAACTTCAGCTCTAAAATACATAGCCTGCTTTACCACTGACTGTCTTATGCTCTGGTCTGTTACAGTTTTGTAGGCATTTTGAAGTCCTCTATATTTTCATGTTATTGAATCATGTAAAATTAAGAGCTGATGAAAACTTGATATATTCTGTCATACTCTGCATATTAAATAACTACAGGTTTAACCAGCCAATATATGCATTCTTGCATAATTTTAAGCTCCTTTACATGCCTTATTATAACAGAGTTATTACTCATAAATTCCAATGATTATACATCATATTGTGCATTTCCAAGGTGATTCGAGCTCTGGATCCCAAGCTAAATCCAGCCTCAGCAGAGATTCAGTCACTGAAAGCGCAGCTCTCTGAGAAAGAGAAGAAGATCATTGCTCTGGAGGTAGAGCTGCCATCTCTTCTCTGTTTACATGTTACTTACATCTAGCAATTTCAGATTTACTTTCTCACTCACAATTGAATTCTTTTTGTTGTTTCTTTCTCTTTTCACTCATATCTTTTCTCATCTTCTCTTCTTTACTCAGCGGGAGTGTGAGCAGGCCAAACTGAGGGAATATGAGGAGAAGTTAATTGTGACTGCTTGGTATAATAAATTCAGTCACTGAAAGCGCAGCTCTCTGAGAAAGAGAAGAGGATCATTGCTCTGGAGGTAAAGCAGCCATCTCTTCTCTGTTTTACATGTTATTTAGATCTAGCAATTTCAGACTTACTTTCTCACTCGCAATTTCATTCTTTTTGTTGTTTCTTTCTCTTTTAACTCCTGTCCGTTCTCATCCTCCCTTCTTTACTCAGCGGGAGTGTGAGCAGGCCAAACTGAGGGAATATGAGGAGAAGTTAATTGTGATAGCTTGGTATAATAAGGTACAGTGACAGGACTCAATAGTTTACAAAGTACAGTGTAAATTAAATATGCTGTTATTTATTTATTTATTAGATTTAAGATTCTGTAAGCCATTTATTTGTTTGTATATTTCAATTTAAGGTGCTGCAATTAAAGATGATATAAAAATTATTTATTTATGCATGTATGTGTTTGTTATTATTTTATTTAAAGGGACAGTTCACCCAAAAACAAAAATGGTCATAATTTACATTACCCTCTTATTGTTCCAGACCTGTAAGAGTTTCTTTGTTCTGCTGAACCCAAAGAATCTATTTTGAAGAATGTTTGTAACCAAACAGTTGAAAGTAGCTATAGACATATATTGGCGATATTGGCTACCGTCACCTATTTGGTTACCAACATTCTTAAAAATAGCTTCTTTAGTGTTCAACAGAACACAAAAACTCTTACAGGTTTGAAGCAAGTAAAAGGTGAGTAAATGATGACATAATTCATTTTTGGGTGAACTATCCCTTTATGGAATGTCACTTAAAAATGTCCCTATTATTTGATAGTTTAAATTGAAATAAATGTCTTGAAATATCTAAAACTTTAAAAGAAACAGTCTGCAGTACTTTGCTTATGTTCTGGAATTTTCTTTTGTCATATTGTGCAAAACACAGAGTTTGAACTTCCAGAAGATGGCAGTCGAGTCACGGCTTAGCGGGCGATCCAACTCTCTAGTGCCACCCGGCCAGTCCTTCCTGGCTCAGCAACGTCAGGTGACCAACGCCCGGCGCACCATGTCTATCAACGTGCCTGCCACTTCTTCCAAGTAACCTTGTCCTCAGTACCTCCCAGCTTCCTGCTCTTCTCCTTCTTTCCCTCACATGTACACTCAAGTGACCTTAAGTACACTTCTAAACAAGGGGACAAGCCTGCCATGATGAACATTAGCATGTCCTCATGTGATCACTCTCTACAGTTACACATGTATAATAATGTACATAAGGGGCTGAACTCTGATGAACGTTACTCAGTCAGCACACAATTATGTACAGTAGCAGTCTTTTTCACTTTCAGTACTAAACACGCACCTGTAACAGTCTGCAGCAGGGTCACTTCTGAACCAGCATCCATACTAAAGGTCACAGGTCAATCTTTTGTCAGGCTCACTCAGATTGTGCGGGAAGAAATGCATTTAATGCGTCCTGTAATGGTAGCATGCATGCTTTTGCTAGAAATGACTTCCAACGATACACTATGCAGTAATGCAGCCGTGGAATATATTTGTAATCGCGCAGGTATGTTATATAAAACATTGAAAGTATATGCAGACTGCACATTTTGCCCTAGCCAATCAAAATCCGTCGATCAGGATGATAATGTATTTGGTGCTGGACACCAAAGTACTTAGTTTGTTCCTATTACAGTGACTTTCTCAAACAACAACAACATGCATTGAAACTACATTAATGTATACATTAAAAAGTCATGCATATAATCACTCTAATTGATTAAATCTGAATCCAGGTGCTTCATTCAGTCGGTTATGGTATTTTATATTCAGTTGACTGTGATAGGACTCTTGCATGCTCTTTTAACAAGCAGACGGGCCTTTTTTATCCACTTAATGTTTCCTGTCTGTGTGAAGACCTCAAGTATCAGGATTTTAACACCAGCACAGAATTATAGGAGGCCATAGCAAACTGCTGTGACGGCTTTGAATGTGTTGTACGCCATTCTTTAAATATATATGCGTGACTTGTAAAACATAGCTGCATTGTGAAATGGCTTTTGCTGTATTGTGAAAATCTGCTCCTGCTTAGGTTGACCCGACTGAGCTATCTGCTAATAGACTAGCTGTTGCATTTCGAATAAAACACACTCTGTTTATGTTGGGAGATACAGTACTCTTAATTCAGTTTTAAATGGTAAGGTTAATCATTGCGGTTCTGATTTGTCTTTTCTGGTGTTTTATTCAACTAGGCTTTTTGGCCTGTGATGGGTAAATGCTAATGTTTTTTGAAATGCTAATATTTATGTATGATGTGTTCCAAGGAAGAACTCTTAAATTTGTGTACTCAATTTTATGAGCACTGCCATTGTTTGTGAGAGATGATAAATAATAAGACTGGATTCATATGGTATTAGAGTAATATTTGGAGTTAAAGAGCACTTGCAGCCTTCATTTACATGTGATGAATAAACACTCTAAAGTTTGTTTTGCAATACTGCCTTCTTGCGTTTTAATGATCCCAAGGTTGAAGTTTTTACTCACGTCTCACCACTAGATGGCGACTAATTTAAACATTTCCCGCTACGTGTCACTAATGGTGCTGAATTTACACACAATTTTTAAAGATCTCAGATTTAATTTAATTTGAATAAATTAAATATATGAAAACAAAAAACTTTATATGTTATATTTTGCACGGGTAGCATTTGCCTTCACATGAATACACAATAAAATGCTTGTTTTAATGATCAGAAATCCAGCCAATACAACTGGATGAGGCAATATTTCCTCAGCCTTGAGAGGGCACACAAAAAATTCAACACAAACAAATTGGATTTCAACATTATTATCACAACAAAATATTGCTTATGTTTGCTGACTATTATCTTTCTCTGTGCATTATCTGTCACCTTAAAAACTTGAACTTCATCCCCTTCATCTGAAATCAGTGCCAACAGCTAGATGATTCTATAATGTTTAACTTGTCACAATGGCCTTTTCTCTATTTTTTTCTAGGGCAATGTTCATCCAACACTATTAGTTTTTGTAAACTAGGCATTACTAAGCAGGTTTTTGCAGGTTTGATATGGGAACTAAAGATGCATTCTCTCACACCCCGTTAATCAAACAAGAAGTGAGTCGGCAAAAGAAAGCCCATAATCTCCACTGATCTGTTTTCTTAGACATGTTAAACAGACATAATGTAATATTAATTAATGTGTATTATATCTTTTTTTATAATATTGAATTATTGCTATAAAAGAATTCTCATAGTGAGTATGGTTTGTTCAGCGTGTCGTTGCATGGATCTTGAAGGGGTGTGGGGTGCGTGTTACTCCTATCACTCCATCAAGGTTGAGTTTCTCACCCTCTGCAGCTGAAAATCGAAATTTTCTGAATAAAATGACAAAGAACAGGAAGAGTTCCATTCTAGCGAGCTGCTCCCCCAGACAGACCCTCTTTCCTGTGAGAGAGACAGAGGGGAGACATTGATGTAAATAAGCTTTTTTTTATTTTTATTATTATTATTATTATTGAAAACAAGGATTTTGCTCACCAAGGCTACATTTATTTGATCAAAATACAGTAAAAACTGTAATATTGTGAAATATTTTTAGAATTTAATAATTATTTAAGCATTCGTTACTTCAGTCTTCAGTTTCACATGATCCTTCAGAAGTCATTCTAATTTGACAATTTTGGACGATATTGTGCTGCTTAATATTTTTGTGGAAACTGCAATACATTTTTTAGGATTCCTTGGTGAATAGAGAGTTCAAAAGAACTTTGTTTATTTTAAATAGAAACTTTTGTAACAATATAAAAGTCTTTAATGTCACTCTGATTAATTTAATGCATTCTTTCTGAATAAAAGTATACATTTTTTTTAAACAAAAATCCTTACTGACCCCAGACCTTTAAATGGTAGTGTAAATAATTCATAATAAAGTCTCTTTTTGTACTTCTGTTTTCACTTTACCTGCAGAAAAGGCCATGAATGCGTCCCTCCTCACAAACTTGCCCTCTTTGTCTAAAAAGTGCCCAGGATTAAACTTGTAGGGTGTCTCCCATTCATTCTCATCAAAGAGAACAGAGTGCAATATGGGTAAAATTGCTGTACCCTGGTTGAAACAATAAAATAGGAAGAGTTAGATTTCATAATTTAGACAAATTATCACAGTTATCCCTTTCAGAGGGAACCATTTTTTGTCAATCAGCCAAATGAATCTCTTTTGGTATTGATATTATTTTTACAATAGCAAGATAGAAAGTTAGCTAAACAAATTAGTTACCTAACAGAGTATCACTCACCTTTGGGATGAAGCACCCTCCAATGCTTGTGTCTTTGTCAGCCACACGCAAGCCATTCATTGGTACAATGTCTCCGAATCTCAGCATCTCATGGATGACAGCCTCAGTGTAGGGCATGTTGGCCTTGTCAGCTATACTCGGCTCCCTTGAGCGTCCAATCACTCTGTCAATCTCCTCCTGGACTTTTTCTACAATTAATACCATAAATTCAAATGTCAGTTATCTATGGATTATGCATAGATTCTTTGTAGAGTGTATTTTTCACCTTGTACTTCTGGGTAAGTGATGAGGTATATGAGACCCCAACATAATGTGGTGGATGTAGTTTCGGTCCCGGCTAGAAACAGGTCTAGAACACATGGAACGATGTTCTCTTCATCAAAACCGTCTGTTGTTTCATGTGGCTTCTGTTCAGGGATGGAAGACGTAAAATTTAAAGTAAAGTTGCTGTATTCCTACAAATAAATGCAAGTGAAAGAGGCTAGTTTGAAGTTCTCCTGTCATTTTAATAGTTGTATTACCTGCATCATCTCAATAAGGAAGCTGTCAATGTAGTCCCGAGGCTCTGAGGGATCCAGTTCGGCCTTGTGTTTGACAACAACCTCTTTAACGAAGGCTTGCAATAATTTGTAGTTACTGAACATGTCATTGTGCGCCCCAGGAAGATGCTTCATAATGGCTGGAAATGCTTCATAGAGCTGAAGGAAAAACATTTTTATTTACTCATGTGTCTGTACTGTTGCTGCATGACCAGAATTAATCTTGAATAGATATTTGAAGGAATAGTTCACCCAAAAATAAAAATTTGCTCAAGATTTACCCAACCTCAAGTCATCCAAGATGTAGAAGAGTTTGTTTCTTCAGAACAGATTTGGAGAAAATTGCTCACCAATGGATCCTTCTGAAGGCACCCATTCCCTGCAGAGGATCTATTTGGAAGCACATGATATACTGCTACATTTCTCCAAATCTGTTCTGATGAAGAAACAAACTCATCTACATCTTAGATGACCTAAGGGTGAGCAGATTTTCATTTCTGAGTGTACTATTTCTTTAAAATTATTTATTTCATTACCTGGCCCCAAATGGAGCCCTCTAATTTAATGCTTTTAGATATATATTTTAGCATTGTCCTGAATTGGTGGTCTGCATAATCAAATCTCTGGCCGAACACCATTTGACAGATGATATTGGAAACAGCATTGTTGAACAGGATTGTTGGGTCAAAAGCAGCTCCTGAGAAGGACAAAAAGTAAATGAGTCCTGTTATTTACCTTAAATGGATTCTTATTTACACGCAAACCAGGTATTGTGTACCTTTCTGTTTGTCAATCTCATCTAGCAAGAAGCGGCTCTCTTCACAGATGGCCAGCTCCATTGTTTTCTTTCCCAACCCAAAGTTCCTCAGTGTTGACAGAGCAAAGCGCCGTTGTTTCTTCCACATTTCACCATTACTGAAGAAGAGTCCAGCTGTCCAGACACAAATAATCAGTACATAATCGTGTTCTGTTGGATACTAAAACTTTTTTTCCCCAACAAACAATCAGTGAAAGTATGTACGTAAACTTCAGAAGATGATAATCGTCAGTTCCTGGAGCTTGATCTAAAAATTATATGAGCTGTGTTATTTTCTGTTCATTTTATGTAATTCAATTTTTTTGCAACCTTTTACCAAGCTGTAGGACAAGTCTGAACAGTTTGGGACAGTTATAAATACTTTTTTAAATATTTATTTTAGAAGTAAATAACAGCTCCAAATGATGTAACTACTTGAGTTTCACAATTTAAAGGAATGTTTATCTTTTGTTAATAAAGGGGGCTTGCTTCTCCAGATTCACAATAAACAATGCTTTTTGCTGAACTCTTTTGATAGGTCATAACCATTTGACCTACCATTGCCCGAATAGACTCGTGATTGCACTGGACTGTAGGGCCGATTCACAAAGTTTTCAGCTTGAGTCACCAGGGCCTCCTTCACCAGTTTATAACCAGTGATGAACACCACTTTGTCTCTTCCTAATCGCAGACTGAATATATTGTTGTAGGCGTGGCCTAGCTGTGAGGAAAACAACATTTCAGAAGTTTGAAGCATGTGACTGGAGCTAATGCAAATCGTTGGGTTCATAAATATTTTTTGTCAGCAAACTGCAAGCATAATCTAAAAGACATGCACCATTTTAACAACTGTTATGAAATTATACGTTTTTATATACTAAAAAACAACAACTTACTTACACATAGTAAGAAATGGTTATAAAAACTGAAACAGAAGTGAAACAAGTAGTAGGAAAGAAGAAAAATAAAAAGCGATAATTACTTGGTTTGCAGTGTAAATAGGGGACAAACGATGTCAGTGCAAAACACATGAAGATTTTGTCTATGGTTCAGTTTAGGAGATTATGTTCATTGACGGATAATTCATTAAAATGTAAAATGGTGAATTAATAGCATACTGCTTTACTCAGTTCAGAAACCTTATAGCATATTTGAATAGAGGACAAGATTAGTATATGTCCAAAACACGTTCCATACAAAGCTATCACTGGGGCAGTGTCCAAAGGCACAAAAGATAAAAGGTAAATTTTTGTACATTATTTACCCCTTAATATCAGTACCTTAAACGTACATATTATCACTTAAAAAGTACATATTAGTACCTGAAGTGTATATTAGTGCCTTTTTAAAGAGTACTGGCCAAAAAAAATTTCTGAGAGTGTACATGGCATTGAATTCATGTTTTTGTCTAGATTTGAAAAGAAGGTAATAGAAAAATTGCAAAATCACAAAGATACATGACTCAATTCTTCAATACAGGTAGACAGGGTAAAGGTAAATAATGAAATGATAGAAACACAACTGTGTTCTGTGTGTTTGTATGTGTATATTTGGTGAGGAGTACAAAGACAAGTGTGTCTTGCCTACAGTCAAGCATGGTGGTGGGAGTGTCATGGTCTGGGGCTGCATGAGTTCTTGAAAACCCAAGAACCAAAATTAGTGGATTTTGAAAACACTGCCTTTTGCCTGTCAATCCATCACAGTTGAATTACTTGGCTGAAATATATATTTTGCCATCATTTTGCCATCATTTTGCCATAAGGAAACATTTTGAGAACATTGTCAAGATACAACAATGCACAATAACTAGTAAAGCTGTTTTGTCTGTTGGTGTTACTTAAGTACATAATATTATTGTACCTTGAATATCAGGGTACTTGATAATGTAAAGCAGAGCCCATCGGAGTGTGTTGGTCGTTGTTTCAGTTCCGCCCTCAAACAAGTCTACCGTGCACCACACCAGACTGTCAATGTTAAACCCTGCCT